TATAACAGTCCAGAAGTTTTTGTACCACATGCAAAAATAATATAATAATAAATTCAGTTTAAACTGTTTATGAAGGTATTAAGTCTGCCACCTTCTGGCCAAATGTTTCCCACCTCTATGTTAAGTACAAAAGTAAACACTTGGTGTGCATGCAGATCACGAGCTAAGCATGTCTCAGCAAACTGTGTAACACGTTTGCAGGGATGTGGAAAGGGTATGTTGTTGAGGTGAGCTCAAGAACAAATCTATTTTTGTTCCTTTTAATTTTAAATGTGAAAAAAAAGTTAAATTAAGTTTATTTATACTTCCCCGCAATCACAGTGTGCACCAGAGGGTTGCTCAGCCTGCGCAGCATTTAACACTTTCTGTACTTGGATGCCTGATTCACAAAGGGAAAAACGCCACATTAAAAAAAATGACTGTCTATAATAGTCATGTGTTGAGGAGTCATCGCCTAAGAGGGCTGACTGGGATTAAACCCACAGAAGAGCCCCATCTAGTGCATAAGCTCCCCTGAACTTTAGAAGCTCCCTCATGGTGTAAACATGAGATGACGAATGCGGATGCATTAGGGAAATGAGCATTAGTGGAGAACGAGCTTGGAGTGACGACCAAACGGTGAAATATGAGACTGGATTGTGTCCGAAGCAGCCACTGGAAGGTGGAGCTGCAGTCACATAGTGCAGATGGGTGTGAAAGAGCAAAGAGTTAAATTCTTTCATTCAAGCAAAAGGATAACATCTTTTTTCTATGTTACATTGCTCAGCTGTTAGAAATTGCTAATAATGGATTCAAGACAGAGATTCATATCATCAGTACAGCTCAACACATGGTGTAATTGAGGGTGACTTTTTAGTCTGCCAGATAATTATTACTTTAATTTTCTTTAAGCAACGTGGCGCCAACTCATTCTGTTTGAGTTTTAAATAAATGGACACAAAACTCAGGACTGGATAAAGACGGTCCAGATGTTTTCTATCTAACCGATATAGAGGTAATAATTACAGGAATAGACACTTGACTTTAAAAAGTGCGCTGGATGAATACCCAAAATTACCCTTTCATAAAAAAAGAGATGTGAATATACAAAGTTAGCCTCCAGTGTTCTCCTGTCTTTGGGCCCCTCTGGCACTTGGTCCTCTCTCTTCCCTGTTCTCTCTTGCTCACTCTCCCAGCCAAGCTCCAAACATGCAGCAGTCTTACATCAAATACATCAAACAGATGAAAAGGGAAAGTATAGGCCTGCCAAGACACATTCATTTCTGCTGTTAGGCTGGGAAGGAGAATTTTTGTGAGTTTAAAAAAAGGTGTTGTGCTGAATTTAAATCCACAGAATTAAATTGTGCATGAAGCATGCACTGCCTACCTGATATTATCATAACCTGTATGTAAAAGGAAGACGTGTCATCATGATGTCACATATTCATTTCTGGAGTCTAGATTTTAAAGCCTAAATGTTTGTTTTTTGGTCTGAGAAGTGTCCAAATTTGGTGAGATCCACTTGTGTCAAAGTGAGATATGGGGGTAAAATAGGGTATTTTAATGTGGCATTCCACAGGGATTGATTCACTTTTGGAGCTAGCTTCAAGTGGCCTTGGAGGAACTGCTGGCACTTTAACCCTATCAGCCAGCATGCATGTCTGGTGCCGTCTGGTAGTTCGTTTCTTGATTTCAATGCAAACATAGGCAATGTTTTAGTACAAGTAAAAGGAAAACTGAGAGTGTGAAAGGAGTCATTTTTGTAATTAGCCAACATGGAAAGCTCATTGTTCAGCAGCTACCCTGAGATTTACTGCTTTGGTTCAACACCATTGTTGAACCCTACTTGTAGAGCACTTGGTAGCTAGATAGTGAAGCCAGTGTAGCTTTAATCAAATAAAGAGGCAGATATTTATCCAATGATATAGTATGTACCTTAAACTGAGACTTTAAAAATGATTAAGCTGATATTGTGAGCTCTAAGTGTAAAGACATAACAACTAGTTTCAGATTGTGGAAGGCTTTTCATGCAGACAAAAGAGAGTTTTGGGAAGCTGCCATTTTCCTTGGATTTTCCATTTAGCTCAACAGAGAGATGGCCCCAAACATCAGCTTTTTATCGAAATCACAGAAGAAGTTTGTGATCTTTGCAAAGCAGGAAAACAACTGATTTGAAGGAATCAAGGAAAAAAGACACGACAAAAAATGTTTTGTCTTTACATATTAGATGGTGGAAAAAAAGGGTGTATATATAATGCAGCTTACAAAGGTTTTAAAGAACATCAACTATGATGGGTTAGTAAAGTAGGAGTGACCCTAACTCGGCTGGCTCTTTCTTTTTTTTACCTGCTCTTGCCTTTAAACCCAGTCTGATCCTAAGTGCAAACTTCAGACTGGGTCTTCCTCTCCTCTGTGTCGCCTAAAACTTTCTTCTCAGAGTTCTCATATTGGTAGCAGCTGTGGTTGCTGGCTGAGTGCAAGCTGTGGGAGGCTGTGGCCGGCCAGCAGGGAGGAGCTCCAACATCTGGAAAAGAAGAAAATCTGGCTGAAGCACAGAAACGAGAGCCTGGTAACATGACTACTCGCTGAGCCAAGCCTGCTGCACAGTGTTTGCAAGTTTGCTGTCTGCTTTATGCAAATGCTTTTTCTTTTTTTTCTAAAGGTGGTTGTGTCGCTGGACTGCCAGTCAATCACAGACGCACTCATTTAACAGTGTAGATCTGCAGAGTAGTCAAAGCAGTGGAAAGAACGGACTGCTTTTGTTAAAATTTGACCCTCTGGGCCTCTCCTGGTGCAAGAGCATGTCTAAACATGTGGGAGCCGTCTGTGAGAGGAAAAAAGAGAAAGGGGGTTGAGGTGGTGCTTGTGCTGGTCAAGAAAACCTAAAATTTCTCCTATGATCTGCCCACTTTAGGTCACATAATTTTCTTTTCAGAATGTGGTTGTATTTTTAGTGAAAACTGAGAGGAAACAACCCCTTTAGTTTTTGTTCTCTGTTATTTACTTTTTGGATTTACATACAAACAAACTTTTACTTGTGATAAGTTGAAAGTAGGTGTAAATTATTAGAATTGCGTGAACTGTAAAACGTCCAAATAAAGTAATCTGTATCGGGGCGATCGTGGCTCAAGAGTTGGGAGTTCGTCTTGTAATCGGAAGGTTGCCGGTTCGAGCCTGGCTTGGACAGTCTCGGTCGTTGTGTCCTTGGGCAAGACACTTCACCCGTTGCCTACTGGTGGTGGTCAGAGGGCCCGGTGGCGCCAGTGTCCGGCAGCCTCGCCTCTGTCAGTGTGCCCCAGGGTGGCTGTGGCTACAATGTAGCTTGCCATCACCAGTATGTGAATGGGTGGATGACTGGATATGTAAAGCGCTTTGGGGTCCTTAGGGACTAGTAAAGCGCTATATAAATACAGGCCATTTACCATTTATTGGTATTAAAGAAGATGAGAACACCAACTCTAGTTTCAGGTTGGGTTAGAGATCTAACCATGCGTAGGCAGCACTAACTGAGATTTTCATTGCAGGAGAACCTGGAGGTCCCGAGAGAAACCTGCACTAACACAGGGAGAATATGCAACTTCACACAGAAAATTCTGAACCTACAACCTTCCTCTGTGATCTACAGCTTATGTTTTGCAGGTGTAACGTTACAAAGGCTGCCAGTTTAGCATTAATAGTAAGAAAAGAAAGTATAGCATAGGTTGATGGACATTTAATTACTTTTGCAGGTCATGTGGTATAGTTTAAGTTCATGTAAATTAGGTCATGTTGGACAAAATAATGAAGGGGACATAAACATGTTTCAGTCCAGTGGTTTTTGTCATTCAAAACAACAATGTACACTGTTGGAAGAGTCTTTCTCTGGGAACCTTGAGCTGCATCTAGTAGTTCAGCCTGGTCCAAATTAATGGACAGGCCAGCCATCCGACAGGCTGTCTCCCGTGAAGCCACGTCACTAAAAAAAAAGGATGAGTTAACTTGATTCCCGAACTGAAAAAAGGGAAAAACTGAATTCAAGTTGGTCTGTGAGTCAGTCAGAACTCAGTGTAGGAAAGTAATAGTTATTTCGGGTGATGTTGTGCACTTTATCATGCCATGGTAATTACAAGTTTTGGTGTACTGAAGTTCCAGCAACACACAGTCAGTATAATTAGCTCCTCATTCCTTGAATTTAATTTTGGCCCTTTTTATTCTAAAGCATTGTATGAAAGATAGTAAAGCTTGCAGCTTTTTTACTGTAACTTTAACTGCAGTAGGAGCTTATCCAGGGTTTGTAGAGCAGAGGGACTGGAGGCTGACAGGGAAGGAAAGAGGTGCTGGCATACCACCGTCTGCCTGGACAGAGGGGACATTCTTCTCCTCGGATCCCCCCAGTCGTCCTCTACAAACCACAGCTTGTCAACCAATCTGCCCACCGTTTACTAAGGAAATGTTCACTTGCTGCAGGAAGTCTGAGGTTTCCCCTCATATGTTTGATTTCAGCAGTTAAACAAACAAAACGAGGGTTTGGAAGTCAGGTCAGAACAACATAGGTGGGAACTAAACCCACAGGGGCCTTATAATCTCAGTTCACCTGTAAAAGATCTTTAAATAAACAGCAAAAATAATAACCTATTTGACACAACACTATAAAATAATTATTGTTGAAAGATTGATACGATAATTTGTGAAAATCCTGCATCTTTTTTTTATGTGCACACAAAAAAGTACGAATATATACCCATTTCTCATAAAACCATCCCAACCCCTAAGAAATATTGATTTAAATAATACAGCGTTGCAGTTTACTTAAAATTGCTTTCAGTATTTGTTAACAGCACAACAACCACAACTGAAAACATCTGTAAGTACTTGATGGATTATTAAATATATTGTTAAGATAATTTGTGATTAGCATATATGAAAACCTTAAAGCCAAACAAGGTGAGAAATGGATGTGTTAGTGTGACAAAATATGATGCAAAATATGATTTTTATGAGTGAACCAGCAGGCTACAGACTTTATTTTAGTATCTGCCGCAGTCATAATGATCATTTCAAACACAAAAAACAACAACAAAAGAATAAAAATTTATTTAAATTTGAGTCTTCATTGCAAGTGGATTATTTCCCTTAATAAAAACAAGACATCCTATCCATCAAATAAGTGAATTCTAATGTAAAAAATTAGGATTTGAGAATTTAAACAAGTGTTGTGTTCTCGTGAGCTTCCCACAATATTTCAGGGTCCTGTTATACCCTACTTGTGTAGTTCCGTTTTTGTCCTGCAGGGGAAGAAGAGAGCAATTTCACTGCAGTTTCTTCTGAGCCAGCTTTGCCAGTTCTCTGGCTTTCCTTCTCTTCAGCTTCTTCTTGAGGAGGAGCAAGTCAATGTAGATAATGCGGTCCAACACAGCACAGGCACAGAGGAGTCCACCATGCAGAGCACCAGCTATCCCATTGCTGAACACATCTTGGCCTGGAAGACACAGCCACACATGCATACCTCTGTATGAGACGTTACTTGGAAGACAGATTCAAATCGGTGTGTTCTTTCTTCTGAAGCTTCTTAAATAAATGGTAAATGGCCTGTATTTGTATAGCGCTTTACTTAGTCTGTAAGGACCCCAAAGTGCTTCGCACTACATTCAGTCATCCACCCATTCACACACACATTCACACACTGGTGATGGCAAGCTACATTGTAGCCACAGCCACCCTGGGGCGCACTGACAGAGGCGAGGCTGCCGGACACTGGCGCCACCGGGCCCTCTGACCACCACCAGTAGGCAACGGGTGAAGTGTCTTGCCCAAGGACACAACGGCCGAGACTGTCAAACCGGCAACCTTCCGATTACAAGACGAACTGCCAACTCTTGAGCCACGATCGCCCCCAATAATATATCCGCCTCTGCTTTGGGACTTTTTTATGATCATGTTTTCATAGCACCATTGTAGTCACCAGCAAAAGACGACTTATTTGCTGCTAACAGATACAGCGAAAGTAAACTGTCATATTTAAAAGCATTATCTTAGTCAATTACTATCCTTCCACTTCCTCTCGAACCTTTCATTTAAACAGGAAAAGGCGCTGAGTGCATGAAAATACAATAAAGCAATAAAAGCCCAAAAAGTTATCATATACATAATACCAAGAAGGCAAGGACATCAGCATGAAAAATGTCAGTTCCAAGAAAACTGTACATTGTTCACCAAAAGGGACTTATATTGATTAAAAGATAAGATAAGATAAGATAAGATAAGATAACCTTTATTAGTCCCACACGTGGGAAATTTGTTTTGTCACAGCAGGAAGTGGACAGTGCAAAAGTTATGAGGCAAAAATTAGAATACAATAAGAATAAATACAGTACACAACTGTACAGAATAGAATAAAATAAAATACTATATACAGTAGAATAAAATAAAATACTATATACAGTAGAATAAAATAAAATACTATATACAGTAGAATAAAATAAAATAAATATACAATAAGATAAAAATAGAATACAAATACAAATACTATATACAACTGAGTAAAAATACAACGATGACAGAAAGGATTATTGCACTTAGTATTATTGCATATGTATGGATGTGTGTGCTTGATCAGTTAAAGTCTTTATTATGGAGTCTGACAGCAGTGGGGAGGAAAGACCTGCGAAATCTCTCCGTCCCACACCGTGGGTGCCACAGTCTCCCACTGAAGGAGCTGCTCAGTGCTGTCACAGTCTGCTGCATGGGGTGGGAGATGTTGTCCATCAGGGATGACAGCTTAGCCGCCGTTCTCCTGTCACTCACCACCTCCACTGGGTCCAGAGGGCATCCTAGAACAGAGCTGGCCCTTCGGATCACCCTGTTCAGTCTCTTCCTGTCCCCAGCAGAGATGCTGCCGCCCCAGCAGACCACGCCATAAAAGATAGCAGAAGCCACAACAGAGTCATAGAATTTCTTCAGGAGTGGGCCCTCCACTCCAAACGACCTGAGTCTCCGCAGCAGGTACAGCCTGCTCTGCCCTTTCCTGTAGAGGGCGTCTGAGTTATGAGTCCAGTCCAGTCTATTGTTCAGATGAACACCAAGGTACCTGTAGCTGTCCACAGCCTCAATGTCCATACCTTGGATGTTCAGTGGTTGCAGTGGAGAATGCTTGTGCCTGCGGAAGTCTACCACCAGTTCCTTGGTTTTACTGGCGTTGATCTGGAGGTAGTTCAGCTGGCACCAGTCCACAAAGTCTTGGGTCAGACCTCTGTACTCCTTGTCGTCCCCATCAGTGATGAGGCCGACTATTGCAGAGTCATCAGAGAACTTCTGCAGGAAGCACTGGGTGGAATTGTGGGAGAAGTCTGCAGTGTAGATGGTGAAGAGGAACGGAGCCAGAACCGTTCCCTGTGGGGCCCCCGTACTGCAGACGACCCTGTCCGACACACAGCCCTGAGTCCTCACATACTGTGGTCGGTCGGTGAGGTAGTCCAGGATCCAGGTAGTGAGGTGATGGTCCACTCCAGAGTTCACCAGCTTGTCCTTTAGAACCAAGGGAAGAATGGTGTTGAAGGCACTGGAGAAATCAAAGAACATGATTCTCACAGTGCTTCCAGCGGTCTCCAGGTGAGCGAGGGAACGATGTAGGAGGTGAATGACGGCATCATCCGCTCCAATGCCAGGCTGGTAGGCAAACTGAAGTGGGTCCAGTGATGAGCTTATTAGGCGCCGAAGCTGAGCCAGGACCAACCGCTCCAGGGTCTTCATCAGGTGGGATGTCAGAGCCACCGGCCTGTAGCTGTTGAGGTCCTTGGGGCGTGAAGTCTTTGGCACTGGTACAACACAGGAGGTTTTCCAGAGCTGTGGGACTCTTCCCAACCTCAGGCTCAGGTTGAAGAGGTGCTCCATCACCCCACACAGTTGGTCCGCGCAGGACCTGACGACCCTCGAGCTGATGCCATCTGGACCCGCTGCCTTCTTGCCATTAATCCTCCTCAGTTCCCTCCTAACCTGGGTGGTTGAGAGAGACAGGCTGGAGCCTTGTGTTGAGTGTGTATTGGATGCTGTTGTTGGGGGTGGGGGGGAGTGAGCAGGGTGAATAGAGGAGGTGTGAAGTGTCTGAGGTGGAACAGCAGCAGTGGGGGTGGGTGAGTCTGCAGCCGATGTTGGGATTAGCCTATCTAATTTTACAAGCTTCTGCAGATAGCTGTAAACGCTATACTCAAAAGCCAATTTCCCAGTCCCTCAAATAAGATGATGGTTTTCAAGAACCAGATAATCTTGGAACCAAGTGCGGTTATTATGCTTTTTCAAAGAACAGCTCATCATTAAGCCTGAAAAAAAGATAAGCTTAAGAGCATTATATTCTCTATAAAACTAGTATTTCCTTCAGCTTAAATCAAGTTTTATTATTCAGTTATCTAGAAAACAGCTTGCATTCTGTTATATCGCAGCAACAGTTTAAGATTGGTTAAACTTTGCTGTACGGTAAATCTGTATGCATTTTTTGGGGGGAACTTGAGGACCACGGGTCACTTTTGTGTATAAAGTTGCTCACAGCTCAGTGTTGCTGTTTCTACCTTTCATTTATGAAATTTATTATTTATTTGTGAAACTGAAAAGTGGTCTTAGATTAAAGTCCTGTCAATACTCATAAAGCTAACTATTAAACCAAAAACACTTGGTTTGATTTCTAGCTGATTCAAAATAATTTGATGATTGGGAATATATCTACAGTATATACCCTTCCTTTACTCTATCCTAAAACCTAATTGATACGATTTAAATTCTTGCAGATGATTTTTAGCATAAAATCCATATTTTCATACCTGAGATGTACAGGTTCTTGACTGGGGTGTTGCATCTGTTTTTGGCTACGGCCTCAGCATGGAAACGCTCCAGGTTGTGCTCAGCGGAGTACATGGCTCCATGCTGAGCACCCAGGTAGTGCATGTTTGTCAGTGGCGTCGCCACATCCTGGAAAACCAACTGAAAAACACAACACATGCAGATTTAACAAAACCCTTCCTACTTGATCTCAACAAACAAGCATTAATAGTTTGTATACATTACCAATAGCTTTTGATTTGTTTCTTTATTCCTTAAAAGTATATTTTTTTATTAAATTTAACATACAGCAGAAAAAACAGCAGAATCACATCTAAACATGACGGATCCTACCTTGTCTTTAATTTTAGGGAACACAGTGCAGGCCCAGTCAAAGAGGTTCTTAGCAAATCGCATTTTGTAATTGTAGTATTCATCACCCCTTTTGCGTACAGTAGTGTCTTTCCATTGCTCAAACCATTCATAGTTAACCATGGTGAGTATTGTCATGCAGGATTTTCCTGTAGAAATGAACAGCAAGTCACCACTCTTAATTTGTGTGGACTTTCAGTTCTGTGTTAGATCGTATAAAATATGCCAAAGAATATATTTTATTTTAAAGCTAAATACTTGACGTGCTCGACGTTTAAAATTTTGAGGTCAACATATGTTCATGTAAAAAGCTGAGACCTCAGACTGCCCTCAATGCCCAGTTTTTGACAGTTTTTTTCTTCTCCTGGCTTTCTCAAACAGAGAGGATGTCCTTATATAGTCATCGAGCCAGCCTATCAGAAGAAGATGGCTTAAAGAAAGGGGGAAGGGCGCTAAAACAGCTTCTTTCAGGCAGAGGGATGGACAGTGTTATTTATTCAAAATCATTCAAATCTTGCAAAGAGTCTTGAGAGTATAGAGCACTTTAATCCTCATTTAAAATATGTTTTGTTAGATCTCATAAATATCCTTTGGAAACTGTAGAAATAGTGAGTAATTGTTATTAATATGTACCAGGATGTCTTATCTTGGCTTCAGGGTCTTTAGAAGATGGCACTGTGATGAAAATCATGGGGATGTTATCAGGTGCTTCCTCTCTGCTCAATCCAAAGTAGTCCTCCATCCTAAAATAAAATAAAAAATACAAATCATAAATCCCATAAAGAGCAATCTTAACTCCGTTTCAATTAAATTAAGGTTTATTTAGGTAGTACCGGTCATCAACAGTCACCTCACCTGTAGAAAGTCCTAACAATCAAGTGACTCCCTATGAGCAAGCACTAGGCAACAGTGGGAAGGAAAAACTCCCTTTTAACAGGGAGAAATCTCCAGCAGAACAAGGCTCAAGCATGGCCAGTTGGGTGGGTAAGGGAAAAGGTAAAAAAGAGGGAAAATAGAGCACACGGAGACTGGACAAAACACAGACGAAAGGAGATGAACATGACTGATCTTCTGCCCTATGTAGCGAACAAGAAAGGACCTTTAACTTTAAAAAAAAAACAACATCATAAGCCATATACTGTGTTTATTTAAATAAAATATTTAGCATAATGTTCAGCTATGGTGTTTTTTCTTTGTTCTGAAATAAGATTGTATCTATAAAAATGTGTGAGACTTGAGCAGGAGAGATTTTCTTGTTTATTCTGATACAGCAGCGCCCCCTTGTGGTTGGTTAATGCTGCCTTTCTCTTCTTTGCAATCGGTGCTCTGCAATACTCACGACTTGTCCATATCATTGTCTTTGAACAGCCAGAAATTAGTGGAAACGAGGTCCAGTTCCTCCTTTGTTCCATCAAAGCCAGAGAAGACTAATAATGATCCTCTGCCATGTTTCATCATGTTCAGTCGTTGCTGAATATCTATAATATAGAAGCATTACTTAGACATTATTTATCACCTTGTATCGTCTTCACTTCACCTGCATTTGTCGCTCTGGCCAACTTTACCTCAGTTTCAGTAAAGTTTCTCACCTGGTTTGGCTTGTATCTCAGGGGGTAGAAGTTTCTGGAACGTATTGAAGATTCCACAGTTTGAAACCACCACAGGCGCATGAATTTCCACTTCCTCTTGACCTTTCCTCACCTTTACACCTATCTCAAACAAACACACACTATTGACTTGACAATAACTTAACCTTACACTGATTTTAAAAATGAGGTGTATTCTGCTCTCACCATAAGCAGCTCCCTCTTCATTAACCAGGATCTGGGAGACGGGAGCTCTCACCAGGCAGTTTCCTCCATATTTCTGAATGGTGCGAATGATGTGGAAAGGAATCTCACTGGCCCCGCCTTTAGGGTAGTACGCTCCTCGTTTGTAGTGATGAATCATGAGGGCATTCATCAGGACACTGGAGTCCTTTGGTGGCACACCTATATACATAAAGAATAAGTGAACTAAATGTGCCGCAGGGATGAAATTGGCCTTTTTTTACAGGGGTGACAGCAGGAAAGGAAGGGAATTACTGCAAAACAGAATGAGGCACAATATTTGTTATTTTCTTGTTTGATTAATTGCTAGAAGACAAAATTGTAACTGAATTTTTAAAAAGTTGATGAATTGCATACCCCTATTATACAGTACATATTGCGCACAGTAACTTTTTATATTTATCTCGGGGTTTGTAGTCTTATTATTGTGGGCCCCTGATAATATTACAGCCTCTATTTCCCTTACCTAGAAGTCTCACTGCAAATCAATACAAGTTCGGAGTAACCATGTCCACCTCGAGGACTGATGTAAATCATATGCTATGACGCTTTTACTCATTAGAGCCTCGATGAGAGATTTTTTTTGTTTTTTTTAACTGCTCTCGACCATTAAAAAAAAGATCTTCTGACAACTGGTGTCCCAACACCTGATTCCAGACACCTTATGATGGTTTTCTCTTTTAACTTGTCCCCAAATATGTACCACATATACAGTATATGATTTCTAAAAACTAATGGGAAACCCAAGCTCCCACCCATCTTCGGGACACATTGGATCTACACTTCTGTGATGTGGCAAGACATTACTGTTGGTATTGATTTAACATAGCAAGGCTTATGTATGTGTGTCTCTCTCTCTCTTTTTGTTTGTCTTCTTTTGTTGTGTGTCTCATGATATGGAACAATTTTCAACTTAACTCAAAATCCATCCATCCATCCATTCGCTTATCCTTTTCAGGGTCGCGGGGGGCGCTGGAGCCTATCCCAGCTGTCATAGGGCGAGAAGCAGGGTACACCCTGGACAGGTCGCCAGTCTGTCGCAGGGTCAACACACAGGGACAGACAACCAGTCGCACTCACATTCATTCGCACATTCACACCTAGTGACAATTTGGATTATCCAGTTAACCTATCCCCACAAGCTGCATGTCTTTGGACGGTGGGAGGAAGCCGGAGTACCCGGAGGGAACCCACGCAAACACGGGGAGAACATGCAAACTCCACACAGAAAGACCCCGGCCTGATGTTGGAATTGAACTCAGGACCTTCTTGCTGTGCGTCAACAGTGCTAACCACCATGCCACTCAAAATCAAAAGTTTTTTTTCAGGTTGGAGTTCAGTTGAAATTTTGAGATATCTGACTCAAGATTTGATATAACAACCTTAAATTTTGACTTCTAGATATCCAAAAGCATTTTATTTTCAGTGGCAAAAATAGAAATAAATAACTATATTATATCTTATGTTTTCTGTTATGACGATAACTTTTTGAGTTCATACCATAGAAAAAGTAAGAAAAGATGGTATGGAGATCCTTGTTGCTGGTCAAGGTGTTCACAAAATCTGTTGCACATGTGCCAGAGAGGCGGAAAACTGGAGAGATGAGGTCTGCAATGCCTGACTTCAGCAGGAATAAAGACACCCACTGCGGGATAAGCTTGAGAGTTGCCAGGTAGTGCGTCTTCTTAGCTGAGATCTGTTGAAAAACCAGGGGAATTTGTAAGCATTTTATTTTAAAGCTTCCGACAGTTGAGACTGAAATATGTGTGTAATAAGTGATGAAGTAACAACAGCACCTTCATGATTTTAAAGAACTTGTCAATGGCTTCTGTGTCATCAGGAAACTGCTTCATCAGGTGAGCTTTCATCTCAGTTTTCCCACAGTAGATGGTGTACTCTCGTTTTTCGTTGCCCAGGCCGATTTGAATGGTGTCAAAATGTTGATCGAGCTGGTGAAACTCCAGCTGGCCCTCTGAGATCTGGTCAAAGGCGATACGCAGCAGACTGTTCTCATGGAGCTGGCCAATGTAGTGAAGCCCTGAAGATGAAGGAAGTGAACATTTTTAGATAGAAAAGAATGATTTTTAGGACTGTAGGGTTATGATGGCTGAGCGCATGCCTTTATTTGCTCTTTCTCTGAAAAAGCAGCTGTCACCCTAGACAGACCAAATTATCATCAGCCTATTGCTTTAGTTGTATCATTATTCTTTCTGTGTCAGTTATTTTTTATGTAATTCAAGCTGTTAGCATGAATCTCTAATGATTCTCCAAATGACTGTTCTGGAAAATGTAACAGTTCCTTAAAAAGAGTGATACTTATGTGTCAGTCATAGAAGATTTCTCACCGACATCAAACTCAAAGCCTTTCTCTATGTAAGTGTGGCAGCAGCCTCCGGCCTGGTCATGTTGCTCCAGCACCAGCACTTTCTTTCCTGCTTTGGCCAGTGTGGCTCCAGCCGTCAGACCACCAATACCACTGCCGATGACGATGACATCCAGGTTCTTGGGCACTTTGTCAACGCTGAAACCTGCACAGAAACATACAGATGGTGGTGTTAACCTAGTAAAGATTTTTGTTCCAGTTCACATCGTTATCATAAAAGTCCATTATAAATTTTATCGTGTCCAAGTGCTGAAACTGGGACGTCAAAATGCATCGTTTGCAACCTGTGTTACATAATACAGGCTGAAGGTTGTGCACTTCTCTTGTCATAAACATTGAACTGGTGCTGGTATCTGTGTTTTCCCATTAGCAATAGCTGTAATCTAATTAAGATAAAACACACACATGGAAAAACTGTTGGTTTATTTAGTGACAGTTTTCTCATCTCTAAGATCACTAAGATAACAGTATCAGCACTTATAATGACTATAGCAAATTCATTTCAGATATCTATATTCATTATCTATGTATTTATTTAATGCATAGATAATGCATTAAATAAAAGGTAAAATCTTTACCTCATCAGACTGGTGTCACAGAAACCTCTGTTCAATGCAAAGTAAAGGTTTTTAAAGTAACAGTAACTTTGCTTAACATAGAAACTGGAATTTTAGTTCACTAAAATACGGTGTGCTTTCATACAGTGCTTTATTCTATATCCTTCTAGCATCCATGTACAATTTAGAATCACCAATTACATTTACGGGCTTGTTTTTGGACTGTAGGAGGAAACCCACTCCAGCTAGAGCATAAACCAGGAATCTTCTTAATGCGAGGCAACAGTTTGCACCAGTGTTAACAAACGTGCTGCCCCCATGTGGCAATTGTACTTCTTTAAATATATGGTTTATTAATAACAGAATGTGTTTTAATTTTTGTTTAACTGATTTTTAACAGTTAAGCTTTTGAATATTTTTGCTTTTTATAATTTGGCCTAAATGTAAAACTTTTCGTACAAAATAGATATAATATAGAACTCTTTATTTGTTAAAAATCATTTTATAAAAAGAGGAGCATAATATAATAATCACACCCTTAAGATGAACTTTTTGAAGAAAGATTTGAATTCGTTCTTCCTGTATGAATGACTCACTGACTTTTTTTTAAAGTTAGGCCATAATATCTTGAAGTGATATAATAAAAATAAAAAGTTGTTTATGTTCCCCTCCCTTTCCAGGCTGGGCTAATTATCCAGGAATTCTGACTATCCAGGAACAACTTTATTCTGATGCTGCATGCAGCTCTTTTCACCTGCAGGCAGTCATTTTACCTTGCTTGATGACTTTGTCGCGCTTCTTCTGATCAAACTCCCGCGGTGCAGGCGGTCTCACTGAGTTGAGCGAGAAAGGGCTCGGTTTCCCAAACAGGTACCAGTATGTGCTACCTGCACATATGAGCAGGCAGACTAAGAAAATCAAGAGCCACATCTCAGAGACTGTCAATTTGCTGATTCTGGATCTCGATCTGCAGCAGGATTGTTCACGGCAGCAATTGCAGGTGTGATCTAAACACTCGCCTCCCTGAGGAGGCACATTTTACCCTGCTGAATGCCAAAGGTCTGGGGAAAAGGGGGCAAGAGATTGCTATGTAGTGATATATGTGTTATGACAAGCAGTAAAGTGGCGAAAGGCCCATTTTTCCTGTGATAACAGATTACAATAACGATGGTGTGTAATGCTTTTTTTGCTGAGCACTCATTTAGGGCAAAGACAAAAGCATCAAAGGAAAATTAGGAACTGGTCTAATTGTTTTGTTGTTGTTGTTTTTTTGAAGAAATTCCTAAAATGTTAAAGATACTGAAACTGTGTAGGGGAATCTGAATGTCAATTGTTTTAAAGAATAAATACTAAAGATATTAATTTCAAATCAATAACCCATTTTATTGCATAAACTGCATTTAGTCAATCTAGAGCGTTCACGGCAAATCTAGATAGAGATAGTTGTAATTGCTTGTATCTGATAAGACAATTTAGATAATATTGTATTGAAGTCTTCTTGGACTTCATGTCCAATTTTATGTTTTTACAACAGGGCATCTGAGGGAACTTGCTTCAGTAAATTTTAGCATTTTAAGAATCATTACTGGTGAATATAAGAGTCAGACTTCTTACATGATAGAAGAAAATGAGCCTAATAACACTGAAATTAGACCTGCTGCACCAATGTTATATTTCTCTTAAAAGAAGCTATATATGGATTGTAGCTGATCTAGTTTTATTAACGTAATCCACTCATGAACTTTGCACTCAAGTTACACATTCGTTCATTCGACTTTGAGCTACAGATTTAATCTGCAGCCACAGATAGGGTGAACCACAATGAAGCAACAAGTTGCTACGATGGTCGAAAGGAATTTGAAATTGTGGCAGACAGAAATGTAGCCTTAAACTTCAAGTGGGTTTTTTTAATATTAAATGCAGATGTAAATATTCGCTACATGTTGATGGTTTTGTGTAACACTGTAACACTTGTGAGATGTGTAACGGAGACTTGTGAGATTTTGCTCTGTCAAGCTTACCTTATTCTTTCAGATGCACCTGTACATCAGTATATGGTGATCTTTTTTTATAACAGTGTTCGAACAGCATCCTGTGACCACAGCAGATAACTTGTAATGAACATTCTAGGCTTACAACCTTTCTTGGTCAAAAAAAAGCATGTCCATATTTGAACCCTTTACAATGGTTACAAATTCATAAAGCCAATCTGGTTGTCTCAATTTATTTCAGATTCCCATAAAGGTGGTAATTTAAAGGTAACATGCTATTTTGTTATTGCAACCAACTCACAGGAAGCCCATATACATTATAGCAATTCTGAATATCTGTAATCTGATAAGGCAATTAAGATAATACACTATGAACAAGTTGCGTTAGACTTTATATGCATGTGTCATGTTTTATGCCTTTACAGTTCAGCAGGCTGAGTAACTCTTGGGTTTAAGACATTAAGAGTTGTTATAGCATTAGAAATGCAGGTGAATCTAGTTAACATCTGAAATACCAATGAAAATATGTACAGTGTTTTCTAATAATATTACTTCAGGGAAGCACAATGTAAAAAGTATTAGTGCTGTTTTTGTGCTATGGTGTGCTCAAAATCCTGATTGAACCATTTCTTTGTAAATGATACGCTTACCGTTTTAAAACTACTCTTTTAAGAATTTTTGAAATGCAAAGAAGGATAGAAACTGTTTTATAGTTAGCTTACACAGCTGGATCAGGTAAGGCCTTTTTAAGTAATGGCTTTATTGTCACCACCTCAAAAGCCTGTGGTATGTAGCCAGTTAATAAAAATAAATGAATCATATTTCAAATTAATCATCTTTCAGCAGTCCTATAATGGAGACTTAAAGGCACATTGTTGTTTAAGAAGAAGAAATGATTGATTAACTCAAAAAGATCGATAGGACAGAGTGGGTCCAAGTAAACCGCAGCAGCTATTAGGGTTGCTGTACTTAAGAAGCTTGCACTCCAGCCCACAAGCCCCCAAGCCCGGCTGCTGGTCTCTTCTGACTGCAGACTCTGATGAAGACTCTACTGAGGGTCCCCGGGCAGTTGATTCGTACACACTTCACCTCTTAAAATTGTTCTTTCTTCCTTCTAGGCAGCATATACAAGATGAATGTAGCTGATTTGCTGAGATTTTAGCTTTTTGAATTCGAACATTGCAAGTGAAAGTAAAACTGACGCTTATACAGTCATGAGTACACCCTGATTTAGTGTCCATCTGGACATTAAAGGTGACAAAAATTTACAAATAAATATCATATTGTCTTTAGTAAGTACAGATTCAGACCATAAACTCATCAGAAAAGTATTAACTGAGATCAGAGAGCATGGCAGTCTAGGGCTGTTTAACCAGACTTGACTAGACTTGAAAAAATAAGTCTACTTGTCTTAAAGTGCCAGATTTACCCCCTACTGGCCATTAGAAAGAAAACGGGTTTATGGCACTTTTGCATAGGTTTCACATTTTAGACTGAGAAGCTATGCCCCTATTTTATACATTATCTAAGTGTTTATCAGTTTTATTTGGATTTGGTTCCACTCGTGCTGACCTGTTGATTTCTCTGTTTGTAGACTGAAAATACTAAACAGTTTTGATTATTAGTTGAGACCCAGCCAAGCAGGGAGTGACTGATTGGTTTGATAATAGGCAGAAAAACTCCGGTTACCCCACACTTGTGTACTTGATGTTCAGCAATGTTGAGGCTTTTCAAAATGCTTTCACTCTCCCATTTTACATTACACTAAAATTACAACGAAAACTTTATTAGACTCACAATTGGTGCATTTAAAAGTGATTCTTCTTTTGATCTTTTGATCTTACTTATTCTTTATAATAACACTTATATAAACAAGTCATCATGCAATAATTTGTTTACTATTTACTGGTAAATTATGTGATAATTATATATATTTATAGGTTATGTTTCAAAAATCCTTTTTTGCTCATTTTTTGTATTTTGTTTTAGTTTCTGTCTCTATACTCTGATTTGTAATCTGTACCCAGCAGCCCCATCATCTATCTTTTGTGTTATTATAATATTCTTACAATATTGAAAAAATTAAACCTCTTTAAAAAGCTATTTGACAGGTAGATGTTGAGTTCTTTGATGACTCAGATGTTGAGTTCTTTAATTGTATTTCCTGATGCCAGCACTGAAAGCGTCACTAATTGGATGGAGAGCTCAAAATGGAAGTCAAGATGAAGTGTGGAATAAGCTTAAAGACTTTGATACAGGAAGCGGCTCCGTGTCAACAGACCCGTGTGACTGACTCTACCTCAGCAAAGAAATCCGATTAGTAGTACTGACTCTCTTGGGACTTTGACCCCCTTCTGTACAGTAACATGGGTAAGATGTTGACTTACAGTCAGGGATATTGGACGCAAATCAGTGAGTAGTTATCACTATTTAATATTAACCAGTGTGATAAAATGAGATTAAAGTACAGTAGGAGCTCAAAAAAATCACATGTGTTATGTCTTTTCAATAACAAGAACAGCTACGTCAGGTTGAAGCTTTGCACAGCTATTTGGATTTAATTATAAATTGACAAAGAATATCCACAGGTGCATACAGAAATCCAGTGATGGAATTATCCATTACAGATTTCAGTTTTCTTTCTGCTGTACATTTTATCCACAAAGGCTACAGGAATATCACAGCAATGCAACCAACTCTCATAAAAAACTGTGTGACTTTTCCTTGGATTTCTATGTGCTATGTTATTATGCAGCCGCCCTTGTCTCCCTTGTAAGGGTTCTTGTCATCGGGAACACCCTTAATCAGCGGATCATTCGGGGCCAGTCCCTCCACAAAAGCAATTGTGTCTGTACAGTTTGCATTCACCTGTTAATTATCGGAAAGATGAAAACAAAGAAGATCAGGGAAGTCGCACAAGTCATTTAAAATTAATCTTAATTAAATGTTTACAAAAGGCTTTGGTGGATAAAGTTAAAGCTAATTGTACTAAAAGAAGAGGCACTTACTGGTGTCCTAGGTGTGCTAACTTCCTTCTTCAACTGGTCTAGCTCCATTTTCAAGATTTCCTTATCTGACATATCCCGAGCCATCCTGGCTGTGAGAAGAAATTACAGATCAAAATATGTTAAATGTCACAACAGATTGAAAAAGTGTACTTTACTAACTATCGTAATGTCTTTAGATTTTTCTAATGGTCAAAGTTATGTTTAAATCCTCAATTTTAAAAAAAGATTTCAAAAAAAGAAACAGTGTCGTTACCTGTTGAATGGCGGGGTCCCCAACAGTCAGAGAAATGTGCTGGCCCCTAAGAGCTCATCAACTGTGTGCCTCACTGTAGTCCGATCGCTTCTGCTCACTGACTGATCTGTGCTGCCCCACTGCTCTTCATCCCAGCTGATCCCCGGTGCTGGCTTTTGGATGAGGTCGGCACAGGATTGGGCCTGATGTCACCAATCCCTCATGATGAGATTAAACAATCAGGAGCTGTGACCCCTAAACAGGAAGGAGGAAGGCAAGGGAACACAGATCCTTTCAATTTGTTGACGCCATGCTGGAGAAAGTGAGATATGGACATAGAAATGATAGAGTTGGAAACAGCAGATCCTTTGCAGAGGATATGCTCTGAGATACATGTGGTCTGTCCCCCAAAGAGGTTTTACCCAAAACTATTGTTTGTTTAAACTGATAGTTGTGATTTCAGGTAGTTGGGAATAACAATACAGTGCACAGAGTTGTGGTACCACAGACTCATTGCAGATATACTTAAGGTCGATCTTGCAAAATAGACCATGGTGGAATCTGTGAAGTTATTACAGAATCATTATTCAATACATATTCATGACAGACTCATTAGTTCAGTTTTAACTCGTTTGAGGAAAGTTATTGATTATGTTTACATCACTGCATGCTTTTCTGACATCAAAGTGATTTAAAACAAAATAGCAGGAATAAAAAGGCTTCTTATTGGTTTATCTATCAGCTGTGCTTATCTGCATGATTCATAGAGAAATGTAGAGAGAAGAGAGATGTATAGAAAAAAGGGCAAAAAAACATACGCAGTACACACAAGTGCAAAGCAAAGACATGCTTTTGACAGAAGTACAGTTAGTGGCATCACTTGTTAGCTTTGCACAAAAATAGCTGTTAGAAATGTCCTTCAGAGAAAGTACAAGAAAAAAGTAATATGTTTTTTGTTCACTTATCTGCATTGCTTCAGTGAAGAATGTGTGGATATTTGCATATTTCTGTTATCATTAGTGTTAATTCAGTTAAAGTACTGACAATAGTTTTACTTTGGAAATAAGTTACAGAAGTGAAAATAAATACAAAGGTGGGTGAGACTGCTGATCATCATAAAACAATAAGGAAGGGTTTCTGATCTTGCTGTTTCTGTAGAATATGTTTTGGTGAGTAAAGCATTTTTGTTCAAATGTGGGTTTATTTTCAGCTTTGTATTGGCAGTACTTTATTAATTTATTAAAACAACACATTGAACATTAACTGAAAGCCATTCATTTCATTTAAAGTGATAGCATTTAGCTGCCGTCACTCAATCTGGAAGCATTAGCATTTTCACCGCTTTGTTCCCATCACCTCCAACTGACATCTGACAGACATGGAAAGCTAATTGGCCTCCACTAAACCTTCAGTAGGACTCACACTAAGCCATTATCAGAATCTGGGTTAGTCTCATTTACTCAAGATTAACCTCACTGTGGATTAGCAGCAGAGCAGAAACACTCCTTTTCATTGTGAAGAGGCTTTTTCCCCACCTTGAGTTCATTTTTACTGCAAAACAGCTGTGCTAAATGTCATTTACAGGTATTTGTTATTGTCACTGGTGGCTTTGACAATTTATTTTATTGTTTTTTGAATATTTCTTTTGTTATGAACACTTGTTAATGAGCAGGACCGTCACTGGTGTGTTCATAGCATTTATATGGGATTGGAAGAGTTTTAACAAACTGCCAATTTATATTCCACAGTTACACAAAAAATACATGAATTATAAGTTGGAAATTAAGTATCAAGTTTAAAAAAAAAAACTGTAATTGAATGAAACCAGAATCAAGTTTAAAGATATTTTAATTTTTGATTTTGGCTACCTTAGTACAATAAACAATCAAGAGTAAAAACAAAAAATATTCAATTCAGTTTATTTATGTAGCACAATTTACAACAGCAGTTACCTCCTGGCACTTTATATTGTAAGCACACTGGTGTGTTCATAGCATTTATATGGGATTGGAAGAGTTTTAACAAACTGCCAATTTATATTCCACAGTTACACAAAAAATACATGAATTATAAGTTGGAAATTAAGTATCAAGTTTAAAAAAAAAAAATTGTAATTGAATGAAACCAGAATCAAGTTTAAAGATATTTTAATTTTTGATTTTGGCTACCTTAGTACAATAAACAATCAAGAGTAAAAACAAAAAATATTCAATTCAGTTTATTTATGTAGCACAATTTACAACAGCAGTTACCTCCTGGCACTTTATATTGTAAGCTACTGACCCTACAGTATTAGAGCAGTATTAGAGTATTAGAGCAAATGCTTTATTAGGATAATATGATACTATGAAGTCTTTAAGATGCAACAGGGCCTGATAAATTGACAATATAAATTACTGAGGCTTTTATCAGAGCCAAAGAGGTTATATAGAATATTTACTGTATTATATATAAATAAATATTTTAGTAAGACTCGCACTAAATATTTGCTTTTATATTTTGAATATAAAAAGTTAATATGTGTAAACTATACAACTATACAACATAAAACTTAATGCTTTTAAGCAACAGCGTTAATCTATTAAATACAAGCTTTTTGGGGGGTGTATACAAATTCAGCTTTCAATAAAAAGAAAAGAAAAGAAAATATTTACAAATATTTTTGCATAGTTATTGTTAAGGGATACTAGATGACTTGACGTTAAGTCGCCTAATCTTTCTTGTTTTATTGAAGAAAAATTAATGAATGCCTTAATGAATTCACTAAAAATGAATCAATATTAAAAGACGATCTTTTTTAACTGGAGAAAGATATCCAAGCCTTTTCTATTTAGAGCAATGGAGGTCAACTATCATTTCCTCTCATGACCTCTAAACCTTTCTGTAATTACGAATCATTTCCTGCAGATGGAGCTGTCGAATAGCTTTTGTCCCGGCAGTGCAGTGATTGGGCCACACCGGTGGCCCAACCCACCTGTTTGTCACATCAGCCAATAGGAAGACAGGAAAAAAATATTTTCAAAATAATAGCTGAAAAATATGCTTTTAGTTCGACACGTGAACATATTGTTACCCGGAAGTTAATGATGTATCCGATACTGTATAGCTGGCGATTAGATGTGCAGCAGCAACGATGGCGGGTCCCAGTAGGAAGCAGATGTTGAGGTTTCTAAGCCAAGTGGGGGCGTTTATTTTGACCCGGTTTGGATTTTGGAACTGCTTCAGCATGCTGATGCTCTTTGCTGAACGAGCGGACTCGAAAAGGTAAATAAAGAAAGAACGAGAGAGCTAGCTCAAGTTAGCTGACGCGCTAACAACCTGCTACTTTAAGATCGAGTCAAACTTTGAGGGAAAAAATAGTCTAAATATTAAAACATGTTATTGGAGAAGTATTAGCTGAAAATTGTTATGGCTGAAAAGGTTGAGTTTAAAGGATAAAGTTACACGAAGCAACCTTTTTTCTTTTATCTTAAATGTGGGAATGTGCTTGCTAGCTAATGTGAGTTGAATTGCAGAAATTACTCCCATGCCGAAAGTTGATGGGCTGAAGAAGTGGTTTAAATTAAGAAGCCGTGTTATATTTGGCCTCGTCTGTAATTTTAGATAGGGTAGGCTGTAATTTTCTTTCTTGGTCGTCGTTTCAGTGTTGATACTGGGTGTGTATTTTTCAGTCTATGGTGGACAACCACACCCCTTTGAACCATCCTGTAATTACAGCTGCTTCACGGAAAATGTATAAATATAAGTGTAAATCTATAACGTAACACAAAATTTTATTCTGAGGCGGGGTAAAACTGACCCACTGACACGCTTTTAATTCCCAACAATCTACAGGAAGCCAGATATCCACATACCGTACCTGTATGTGGACATGGGCGCTGCGGTGATCTGTGCCAGCTTCATGTCATTTGGGGTGAAGAGACGGTGGTTTGCTTTGGCTGCTGCCGTACAGCTTGCCATCAGTACTTACGCATCATACGTTGGAGAGCAGGTGTATTATGGGGAATGGCTTAAGGTGAGTGACGTCCTTTGATAGAAAAGTCAGTTCTGTTCACAGATATAAGTTAAATTGTCAGCTAAACAGATTAACTTTGATTTTAGTGTTATTTAGTGAATATGCTACCTGAGCTAAAAAGAAAAAAAGACAGCTTTTTGTTATATTTATATTGTTAACTAAAAGTAGAACAGCAATAACTAATAAGTGTTTAAATAAGCAATCTCTAACAAACACTGAGTGGATAAAAATAGTTCAGAAGATTGGTGAAATGGAACAGTTTGGTTTGAAAAGGAATAAATTAGTCTGTGATAGAGAATACTTGAAAACCCAAATTTTTCTTTTTTGTTATGACTGTATCATTGTCTCTTTCTGTGGAGAGACTGGAGACGGGATTCTGCTGGTTCTCCCACTTTCTGAGGAATCCTGTCTATGAATAAAATAAAAATAGTATTTGCCATAGCAGATCTTCTGCGTCACCATTGCCTGCCAGATTTTATTTAATGTAATATCTGACACCAGTCTGAAGTGATAATATATAACATGCATGGTGTGAACATGCAGTAATATGTTCTTCGAGATGTTTATTTTTGGGTTGTCTTTTTGCACTACACATGAACTCTAATACTTTTGAGCACATATTTGTTTATGTCTGATACTCATTGAATGTAATAAATTTCATTTTTTGACTACTGATGGAGGTTAAACTTCTACTAAATCAAACAATGGCCCGGATCAGTCTTTGAGCTATTAATCAAAAGTGGATCTGTGTCACACATGGCGGTGAAATTGGATCTGGGCCACCACTACAAGTCAGAGTAGATTGCTTTATCAGAGCAACTGTGGTAGGAACTTGCCTCAGATTGTGACAGCTTGAATCTTTTTCACTACAGGTGCGAATGTACTCCAGAGCGCTGGCCATTATTGGAGGCTTTCTGATTCTGGCCAGCGGCGCAGGGGAAGTATACAGACAGAAACCTCGCAGCAGATCCCTGCAGTCTACTGGACAAGTTTTTCTTGGAGTCTATCTCATTTGCATGGTAAGACACATTTCACTTCTATAGATTTTAGAGCTAGTTGGGCTATAGTCCACTTTGGGGAGATTAGGAATCTCCAGGTCTTGCTCACAAGTATGGGAGAGTGTAGCAGGAGATTGACACATGGAGTGTGTTCAGTGAGGGAGAGGCTGAGTGTGAAAGCAAAGCAGTTTATTTAGCAATCTACTTTCCTTTCCTTACCTTACCTGTTCATGAGCTGTGGGTAGTGACTAAAGAAATAAGATTGTGGATACAAGCAGTGGAAATGAGCTCTTTCTGAAAGGTGTCTTGACTTGTTCATGAGACACTACAAGGAGACATCAGTGTCTCTAAGGCGATGAGTTGATGTCGTTCAGGTTTTTGACTAGGATATCTTCTAGGTGAGGTGTTTTGGGCATGTCCTACTAGGAGGAGACCCCAGGGCAGACCTAAGACACACTGGAGAGATAATGTCTCTTAGCTTGTTAGGGAAATCTTGGTGTCCTCCCAGGAGAGCTGAAGGAGTTGGCTGGGAGAAGCAAGTGTGGGAATCTTGGCTTAGACAGCTGCCACAACGACCCAGACCTAGATTGTTAAGTGTGAGGTTTTGTTATTTTCACTCAATGCCATTGTGAACTAAATAGGTTTTAAATATAAGATGTTCCTTATTTTCCCTAGTGTCTTTATAAACTAAGTGTATATCTTTTTAGTCCTGCTTAGACAAAACTGTGCGTACTGGTCATTTTTGAATTGATCTGTTTTATTAAATTAGATTCAGAGTCTGACCAGAATTCTTTCTGTGATCAAATAACATGAAATTAGCTACTTGTAATTAATTTTTACAAACCAGATAATCATTTATATGAAATAATAATAATATTCCATAAATTTCTGAGTAACATTTTATTGATCAGACCTTGTTTTTAGTTCAAATACTGCAGTGCTATTTTCTCCCCACTAGGTTTACTCCCTCCAGCACAGCAAAGAGGACAGGCAGGTCTATCTGAACCACATCGTTGGGGGAGAGGTCACTCTGATGCTGCTGGAGGTGGTGTTTGGCATCCTGGCTCTGGCCTTCCTCTCCGGCTGCTACATCCGCCTGGCCGCTCAGATCCTGGCCACCATCCTTCCTCTTATTATCTTGCTCATCGATGGTAACATTGGTTACTGGCACCACACTCGGAAGGTGGAGTTCTGGAACCAGATGAAGCTGATAGGTCATAATGTGGGCATCTTCGCCGCTGTACTGATCCTAGCCACTGATGGCTGAACAGTCACACACTCAGACAGCTTTTACAGACCAAGGTGTGTGCACCAGAGGAAGATGTCGTTGGCCTTTTCATCGTGGCCCAACTCTGTACTCAAAGCTGCCGTCACTCGATGACGCCTCAGGATTAAAAACAGTCACTGCTGAGACGGTTGGATGTAAGCGGCGTCGATTATCCAGTTTGTAACTTTGCTTTTGCAAGGAAAAAGAAAAAACACAACCTTGCTTTTTAAATGTTAATAATTTATTTGGATTTATGTTTACATTTTTGTTTCTGATATGCTCTGAAGCTTGACAGGGAGTGTTATTACTACAAGCCTACTGGGAACTTTTAAAAGAGGTCTTAATGATTTCAATCACTATTTACAGTGGATGGTTTAAATACGTGATTTTAAAAAAGGGAAAAATTGCTGGGTGACAAATTAAAGGAAACAGCCATCATGAAGCAACAGCTTGATTGGGGTTTTAGAGAGGGATGAAAGTGCACGGCTGCAAAGGAACAACACAAACAAATAGTTTTATGTCCATTACCTTGTTTTTGTAATTGTTAGAAGCCATGTTTGTAACAGAATTTAAATTTGACTTAATTCCAAAGTCCTTCTTGACCTGAAGAAAAGTTGAGATGCATTATCCTAGGTGGTTCTTATCTTAGTTGTCAACAAAAGCATCATTTTAGATAAATTCTTCCACAACCAGCAGTACTGTGCAAAATACCACACAGCAGTGAGACCAATCCGAGAAAAGGCCAAAATGATAACTGAAAGTATAATTTGATTAATTGCCAATCTGTGCTTAGCAACATGCTGAGCCAGAACAGCTTCAGTCCAGCTGTCTCTGTAATAAACAGCTTTAACCTAAGAGATTATTCACTAATTTTGTGATTTGGTTTTTGCAGAGCGCCAACTTAAAACATCAGCTCTCCTGTACGTACATACATACAGCTGTCTTTCTTAACCACCAACCAGAGGTTGGAACTGGATCCTGTCATAGCTGACTATGAAACAGCACTCTCATTGTTTAATGGGTTGTCAATCATAAGCCTTAACAAATAAGTGTACTCATTATTCTCCTTCCGAAATTTACAAACTCAATTGGCTTCACTTTTTAGACCCAGTCCGTCTTTTATATGTCTACAGCTGTAATACTTTTTAACTGCTTACATTTTATATGAAATAACTGTTTCGTTACATGGGTATTCAAGTCACTTCATTTTACTGAAAGTTGCAGTTTGTTTTCTATGATGTGCCCAATTTGGCTCAACATTCAGTTAACAAGGAAGAAAGGCTGAATGTAACAGATCCTTCATGTCCAAGACTGTGCAGTGTGTTTAGGAGGCATAATTACCAGGATGAGTGATTAAATATGCATAAAGCCTTTTTGGAGGATTTATATTTAATGTGTGGCTTGTGTCAGTGTCTAAACCAACATGTAGTTCAACACAAAGAAAACACCTGAATGTGTTTTTATACTTAGCTAAAGAAGATTCACCTTTGAGCTTCCATTTATTCCATTAATGACTTCAATCATTTTTTTTAGTCATATGTTGGTTTTATGTTTTTACTAATCTCACTGAATCACTTCCAACCTGCCAGACTGGTCAGTCTGTTTTGTTTTGTGGTTTGCTATGAACTTTTGCAATAGGTTTGGCCACCATTGCTAAAATAAAGATTTCTTCATACAATATTTCATATTCCATCAACAATAAAACCAGTGTAATATGACCATAGTGTCACATCCCATATGGAACATGTTACATGTTTTAGCTCATTTAAAAAAGGTCAATGACAAAAAGGATAGATCAGGTACTGGAGACCAACCAGTTTTCAAAGGGGTTGAGATGTGGCTGTGTCGTAAGACCAGTAAAGGGAATTTCAAAAATGTTCGGAGGTAGCCTGATGTTGAATGAGTCCTACACGCACCGGAATAGTGCTCAGGCTTTTCTCTAGGACCTACTCGCGCTCTTTTGCTGTAATCTGTAGATTAAGACAAAGTTTGCGTCTCATTAAAAAGTTCTTTAGGCAAGTATACAAGATGACACTTAATGTTCATGTTACCCAGAACATATGGGTAAATTTGGATTGTTTACTATGCTACTACATGAGCCATTTCCACTTTGATTTCTCTCCTTTTTCCTACAGTGCCTGCTTCATAAGTATAAAAAGCTTTAAAGAGCATTGAAACAGAATAGAATGTGATAATTTGTACTTGTCTGCTGCTCAGCATCCAGAATCAGGTCACATATTAGTCCTAGAGTTCCTGTAAATGAGTAAAAAGTATCACTTTTCTTGTCCCTGGGACTCTGCTTCACTTGAGGCTTGTTTGTTCTTACGGTTGCGCTCCGCTTTTACCAGAGCACCAATCACAGCGAGCATCACGGTGATGGTGATGACGAGCACTGAGGCAGTCTCAGCTATACACAGCTGGCTGTCCATCGAAGCCAGGAGACTTCCGGCTAGCTGAGCGGGAGCGTGACAGATGATGTCCTTGTAGTCCTCTACGTGCAGATGTCGCACATGGTTGATCTTGCCGAAGATGCGCTGCAGCTCGCAGTCACAGATCCAGGGGTTGAGGGACATCTGAAGGTAGGTGCTGGTTGTCTGGAGCTTCAGGAAGGTCTTGAACCTTATGTGCTCTAGCTGGTTTCCCTTGAGACCTAGCAGAGAGAGCCTTCGCAAGGGAGCCAGAGATTCGGCCTCAATCTTTGAGATGTTGTTGTAGTTGAGCAGCAAGACCTCCAAGGTTTGCTGCCTGTTCAGCTGGCCATCTTTAAGAACATTCAGCCTGTTTCCCTCCATGTTGAGGAAGCTCAGTCGAGACAGGCTGCTCAAAGCCTTGATGTCCAGTCCTCGGATGTGGTTGTAACTGAGGTCCAGTTTCCTCAAGCTGCCACAGTCTTCCAGTGATTTGGAGTCTAAGTGCTGCAGCAGGTTGTTGCTCAGCCGGAGCTCCTGGAGGGAGTATAGGCCCTGAGAGAAGTCCTGAGGGAGCCACCGCAGCCGGTTAAAACTCAAATCCAACTTCTCCAGAAACTGCAGGGATGACAGAGACTAAAATGGAAAAAGAAATTAGAAACAACACGTTACTCAAATCAGCTGAGTTTGAATTGTGGTTTAACTTAAAACGTGGTCAGTTATCGGGTGTGTTTTCACAGCAACTTTTAAATATATATTGCATCTCATCTCAGGAAACCGGTTCCAGAGGGAAATTTAAGGGTTTTTTTCCGCCAAGCTAAAATCCCAAACAAAGCTGTGCAGACTTTTTTTTTTGTCTCTGTTTAATTGAAATATTTTATTTTTGAATTGATTGGAGAAATAGAAATTTTAACTCTTCCCTTTAAATAATCTTCTAGAGTTAACCCATGTTTCTGAACTGGTGGTTTGTTTTATATTTCATGCATCCTTGTATAAGAAAATAACCGGGTGTGGATATGAAAAGTTAGTGAGGTCATCAAACCACATCTTTACTGATATGAACTGATGTATCAAAACTCGTCATGAAGGGAACACGAGAGGTCAAATGTTGTCTTTATGAGGGGGGGGAAGAGTTAAATATTATATAGTAGTGAAGCTGTTGACTTACTGGTCAACCCTCACCTATGGTCGTGAGCTCTGGTTTTGGATACAAGCGGCAGAAATGAGCTTCCTCCAAAGAGTAGCTGGGCTCTCCCTTAGATATAGGGTGAGGAGCTCTGTTATTTGAGAGGGCTTCATAGCAGAGCTGCTTTTCCTCCACATCGAAAATAGCCAGATGAGGTGGTCTGACTAGGATGCCTCTTGGACACCTCCTAGGTGAGGTATTCTGGAAACGTCCTACTGGGAGGAGGCCTTGGGGCAGACTAGGACTTGCTGGAGAGAGTCCCAGCAAGTCCTAGTCTTGCTGGGACTTGCTGTCTCTTGGCTAGCTTGGGAACGTCTTGTTGTCCTACCAGAAGAGCTGGAGGCGGCAAGTGAGGTAAGGGAAGTCTGAGTTTCTCTGCTTAGACTGCTGCCCCCGAAACCAGATGAGCAGCAAAAATGGATGGATGTGCTAAAGTCAAGGTTATCTTTGGGCATTGGCTGCTTTTTCACGCATCCGTGTCCTTTTATCATTTTTGGAAGTATGTTTGTTTGTTAAGACACTTAACACTGACTTATTAATTATTAAACATTAAAAAAAATGCATCAAGGGAGTTCAAGTTGAAAGAGTGTTGTGTCTACACATCGACAATTTAGCAAAGAACCATCTTTTAAACAATATCTTTTGGCACTTTGGTATTTGCAGCCTGGTGACAAAAACACATTTGCTCCCCTTTCTTTTGTTGAGACTATGAAAAATGTTCAAATTTACACAGTTTGAAAGACATGAAATTGTATTTTGCACCAACATGGTGATTTCCAAAGACCAATTAGTTCTTTAAAACTTGGCATGGTGTGCAAAATGAGGAAAATGGACAAGTGGAGGCAAAAAGAATAAGTAGATGGTGTGACAGTCATCTCCTTTTAAAAAAAAAAAAACAACCAGTAAAAAAGTCCAGCAATGACCTGGCACAGGAAATTGGTGATTCATCAGTTCCTTCAGCCTCATTAAAAATGATCTCAGTGGAAGATTGGACGTCAAGAAGCCATTCTTAAGGAAGGGAAATGGAGGAAAGGTTGAGGTATGCCAAAACACACAAGAGCTGGACTGAAAATCAAGGACAACAGCTCTTACGGACTGACAAATCCAAGTTTTAATTTTTTTGGTTTAAATTGTCATCAATATGTATGGAGGTGGCGGCACGGTGGTTAGCACTGTTGCCTCACAGCAGTTAAGGGAGTCTTTCTGTGTGGAGTTTGCGTGGGTTCTCCCCGGGTATTTCGGCTTCCTCCCACAAGCCAAAGACATGCACTTTGTGGGGATAGGTTAATTGAAAAACATCTAAATTGCCCGTAGGTGTGAATGCGGGAGTGAATGTGAGTGCGAATGGTTGTCTGCGACAGACTGGCGACCTGTCCAGGGTGTACCCCGCCTCTCGCCCTATGACAGCCGGGATAGGCTCCAGCGCCCCCGCCGCGACCCTGAAAAGAATAAGGCTGTCTACATCCATTTGTAAAACACAGCGAAGGCTCTTTCCTGGTTTGCATTTTAGCCAGTGGAGGTTAGAGATGAAAAGTAAAATACCATCATACTGTGCAATATAATCTAGGAAGTGTCTTAAATTTTTAGCATGACATTGATCCCAAACACACTGCCAGTGCAAGCATAGAGAAAGTTTAGGTGGTGGTCCTACCAAATCTTGACTTTCAAGTTTGTTAGAATTGTACAAACTCTGTTTACCTTATTTACTGCATTTCCATGTATGTGTGCACACTCGAATAAAGTGCACTCGTTTCCCATCTTCCTAGCAACATATTAAGAAACGAATTTCAGCTCGTGAATTTTGCACAGTACTGCATACTAATGCCCCACTGAAAATCTAAGCAAGTTTCTTGTAGATAACACATTTGTTAGGTTACTTGCTGATTCTAACTTGGCTGTATGTTAATGTGAGTGAACGGGGTTTTTTTCTTCATTTCCTTGTGGTAGCGTAGACTTGGCCAGGATATACTCTGCCTCTCATCTCATCGGGTTTAATACGTGATAACTCAGATAAGCTCCAGCTGCCCTGTGCAACCCTGAACTAGATAAACCATTCAGGATTGAAAGGATGGATTTTAGTTCGCAGAAATAAAATATAGAGCTTTTGTCAGTTTGGTTAAATTTGCTTTGCTGGTTGTCCTGGAAAAATGTCTGCATTTGTTTATCGAGCTCAGGACATCTGCATGACTGTGTGCCGTCCGCATTGTAATATCAGTTCTAAACCTCTTAAATATGCCTCTGACAAAATCCACCCACAATCTAAATTTATAATAACCCCCTAAGACCTCAACTAAGACTACAAACTGACACTAAATACTGACTTTGAAAGAGAACTTCAATAACCAGTTCATGTTAAAATATTAATTAGAAAATTGCAGTACTCCTTTTTAAGTGTGGTTATTTCTTTGATGTAAGAATCTAAAGACTTCTACAGCTGCACTAAAATATCAAACACAGAAAACACACAATAACCAGCTCTTACTGACATACCTGTGGGTGCAGAATATGGATGCTGTTGTTGGACATGAGGAGGATCTTGAGTGACCACAGTCCTATGAAAGACCTGGTGTGCACCTCTGTCACCTTGTTCGCACTTAGATCCAGCAGCCAGGTGCCGTGGGAGATGCTGGATGGGACCCGGGTCAACCCACGAGACCTGCAGTCCACCAGGTCTGAAGATTCATAGCACAAGCAGGGGCTGGGGCACAGTTTAAAGCCCAGCACGGCATTCAGGAGGAGAGGGAGCAGGAACATCGCGGCCAGCATAGTGCAGCCAAAGCCAGGCATCTTGCTGGAATCTGAGTGACCTCACTCCTGCTGAAAGGCATGGTTACCCTCTTGTAGTCCCCCCGAGAAATACATGTAGAAACCCAGAGAATTTGTTGCAAGGGCACGATAACGCTGTCATTTCAACAAATTCTCCATGAGCAAACATCGAACGGTTCCCGATTAGAGAGGGATTAATGGCTTAAACAGATGATCACATAACCACCACATCAGGGCAGGAAACTTGGTCCATTTTGGATCCTTTCCTAAAGTAAGGATTTACATCTGCTCTTCTATATGGATATATTAAGCTCTTTTTCATCATAGAACTCCCATATCCCTGTGATTTCAGCAACATGTTACATAAGATTGTATGAGTTTTTATAATCTCTATTATGGTAAAGGTAGCACTGGTAGTAATGTAATGGAAAAGCCTCTTTAAAAGTAAATCTTCAGTACAGCATTCAGCATCAGGACCATTATATTGGAAGCACCGAGGATCAGTCAGCAAAAACAATTCAATATTTAAAGACTGCCCCAAAGAAATTAAAAATTGACTATTACATATAATGTTATTTTTTTAAAAATACACCTTTCTATAAAAAAAATAAAATAAAATCGACTTCACCTTTGGGAGCATTTTTCACACTTTTCTGACATTTTGGAGTTGAAATAATTCATTAAGACAACCACAAGATATCACTGAACAACAACCATCAGCCTACCTGAAATGTAGCCATACCTCCACCCAGAAAAAGGAAAAAAAGAACATTTTTTCCACATAACCGCAGCTCCATTAGTGGTACTCATTTAAAAATTCACACTGATTTACTGAGAAGTTCGTTGCTGCCCACAGGATGGAGGCAAATGTCATCAACCAGCTTTAGAGTAACCCAGAGGCTTAAAACATTTAAATAATTAATTTGAAAGAGACATGGCGTCAGTTTCCTGTAATTACACAGATTACAACGCTACCAAACAGGACAGAAAGTGAAACCCGAGTGTAACCCGTATCTGATTAAAACGTCCTTACTGAGGACAGCTGATGGTCAGTCTGAGTTCACGTGACACAAGTGAAGTGGTTCCTCAGGAATGCAGCCAAATGTATTCCGAGGATGTCATATAAAATCAGGGTTATGACAAGAAAAAGACAGCACTCTGGCAATTAAAAAAAACAAAAAACAAAACAAAAACAAGTTGCTCTCAAAAAAGTCGTTGAAAATTACGGTATTACAGTCAGAATTTTTGTTACTTTTATTTTAGAAAATGTCCTTTAAAGTGTGGCATTTCAAGTCACATTTTGTTTAAAATACAGAAAATACAGACAGTAGAACATGGATACAGCAAAAAAAAAAAAAAAAAAAAAAAAAGAAAAGAAAGGAAACAATGACAGAAAATAAAGCTAACAAGCCTTTCTGACTGCTCTAGTTTTCTCTTTTTTGAAATGGAACTGAAGGCAAAGGAAGGAGGGCGGGAAAAAGAAAAGGCTTCAAGGACAAGAGGGGAGGAGTGGGGGCAGAATGAGACAAGTTAGTTAAGGAAACTATGGTTGGTTTATGGTTCATGTTTAAATTATTCTTTATAAAGTCTAATTTAAGATTTAATCTTTCCTCTTTCTTTTTTTGTCTTTTTCATTTAATGGTATTTTGATCTTCGGGATCCAGGGCCCTCAACGCTCCTCCTGGTGGTCTCCGACTGTGGAGAAGGAATGCCGACTTTGTCTGGCAGTGGGAACAAAACCACCCGCGTCGCCTTCTCCGGCCGACCCGCACCGCCAACTCAAGAAGATAAAGTGGAGTCCTTCTGTGTTTGCTGTGCTTGTGAACGTTGCATGGACTTCTGACTTTCCACGTCTCTAAAATGTTTCTCAACCTGTGAGGGTAAAGCAAAAACAATAAAGAAAACATTATTAATAGATAAAATTCCTATGGTGAGACTTGAACCAGCTATGGTTTACAGATAGAACATAGAGACACCAAATTGACAGAAACGAGACAAATCTGAACTTGTTTCAGCCTGGAAAAACCAAAGATAGGAATAACAACAAAATTGAGTCACAACTGACGTGAAACAAAACAAGTCACCGGCTCCGAGAAGCTCAAACATTTTCCAAATATAAAAAGCAAGTCTTATGACGAATTACTGTTATGGCCCCCCAAACACATGCTTATCTTTAAGTTCCCCTCACTGGGACCTAGAGCTGGGCGATATGAGATTTTTTCATATCACGATATGTTTTTTTCATTTCAGGCGATAACGATATCTATCACGATATAAGCCAAATAACTATATTTGTAAGATTTAAATGTGCCATTGCTCACAAGTAAAATGTGAAATAATCAGCAGCTTGTTTTTAAATATTTATTTCAACAGGGTAGATGTACTTAAGGAACATGAGACTTTTTCAGATAAATAAAGGCAAATATTGCAAACTACACAAAAGGCAGCCGCTAAAGCGTTTAAGTTTCAAAATAGAACAAACGAAACAGACTAAATTGTCAATTCCACTTAGAAATAAAGTATTAATTCTAAAAATAAATCTTAGTTTGTTTTACAGAAGAACAGACAAAACTGACTAACTTTTGTCAATATCAAATAAACTGAGAACTAAAAGGAAATTCTCAATCTCTCCTTGTTGTATAGCTGAGCTTTTCAAACAGTTTTAACAGTTACTTTAGTCTGACAAAAGCCGAATGATGAATTAGCACTTCCAGTCAGAGACTGAGGCTACGTCCACACGTACGCGGGTATTTTTGAAAACGGAGATTTTCCGTTTTCGTTTTAAAAATAATCCCGTCCACACATAAAGGGAGAAATGAAAGAAAACGCTGCTATGAACATGCCAAAGCAGCAGGTGGCGCTAGATTCCTAACCGTGCAGAAATGTTGGCCAATCAGAAGTCTAGAAGCCTCGGTGGGAAAAAGTAAACAAAGCTGGGGCATAGAAGCAGAACAGAGTCGTATGTGTGGACGGACAGTAACTGTGTGTATATGTAAGCATTTAAACACTGCAGAGAGTAGAATTAACAGTATTGTAGAAATTCATTTCACCGAAACAATAACGTGGCGCACAGTGTGACGCATGCACCAGTTTATTGTATTTCCAGACTTGCTTTCGGCACAATTTACAGTGCACGCTACTCTGTTTTTGTCAGACTTGAAATAGCCGAAATACCTTCACACTACGGAACTTCTATGGCTCTTCCGTTCGACAATCTCTCCGGCATTGGAACCATCATCTGTTTTCTCTTCGGTCACGCTCAGTTGATTTTTCTAGTCGGCACACTCATTTCCTCCATTACGCGCTGGCTCCATTACCCGCTGGCTGCTTCCCAAACAAACACACGTGCGGCTTGGCACTTGTGCTGTACGTAACAAGTCACGCGACGTGACGCTGCGGCTGTGATTGGTTCGGCTCTGCGCTACTGAATTTGGATCGGCTGACCTTTTTTTTTTTTTTTTTTTTTTTTTTTTTTTAAGAGGACAAGAGCGGCGAGGTCTATCGCGATAGCTTAATTTCTCTATCGAGTAAAAGTTATATCGCGATACATATCGTTATCGTTCTATCGCCCAGCTCTACTGGGACCATAGCTAAAGTTAATAGCTAAATGAATGTGGTCTTGCTCAATTCAAATCGTGTTTAGCCATGACCATCTGGTACCCATCAACAAAGTGTCTGTCAAGTTCTGGGATGTGATGGGAATGGGTGTATAAAAACTAGAGAATGAGGCCTGAGGCCACCGAATGCAACACCAATGACTGGCATATTTAAGAAGCTGCTCTCAGCTCCATGGCATAAAAATACACGTGATTTCTGCACAGAGGACCGAAAGCCAGAGATACACCCCCCCCCTTTAACTTTTTTTTTTTTACCGAAAGTCAAACTCACAAAGTCTCCATATATGAACCTGTGTAAAGTGCTATTAGTGGTTCTCTTGATTGCTCAGGGTGTCTCACAACAGTTCGCTTTCTGTGGTGCCTAACAGCTGGCAGTCAGCTTAAGCTCTCCATCGCTCACCCTGTTGCTGCCATGCAGGTGCTCCAAGGTCCCCATCCCTGTCTGCACCCACCTCCCTCCAGCAGTTGACCTGCAGCTTATTCACTGGTCATCCCCCTTCGAGATGAGACTCTTAAGTTTACGAATGACTGTGCTAAATAATCCTGATAATAGTTTGTAACGATTGAGCAGCTTTATGTGACAGACACACACCTACTGTATACACTTGAATGTGGAAGTCTTACACTGCGTTGGGTGGGGGGGAAAGTGTCTAATCGGGGGAACATTTGCACTTTCCATTTACACCGTTTTCTGTCTGTGCCCAAAACAAGACAGCACAGATTTACAGGCTTGAATTTTCCTAGAAAAGCGATCAAATCGTCAGCGAGGAAGAGGCTAAGAGTGGAACTGAACTCATTCAATAAGAACGATTATATGCCTTCAGGGAATTAGTGACGCATGCTACCAAGAACAGAACATTCAACACAGAGCACAGCGATCACATTTGCATACAACTTCAAAAAACTGTTGTTAAAAATGAAGCATATGGGGCACTCATCACGGACAAAGGTGAAGTAACAGAGGTCGAGGGATTTGCGGATTTATTAGATTAATCCAAACTTGCAAGCATGTGGAGATGAGGACATGCTCACACACAAAAAAAGAGGAAAAAAAAATCAAGTCTGAAAATGCCACTCATCTCTAACCCCCCCAATCAAGTAAAAGCAAAAGCTGAAGACAAAGTCATCATGAAATAAACAGTTACACATGTGAAAATAGAAAGTGTAGTAGTACTTACTATTTTGCGTACATGACTTAAAGCGCTTCCCTCTTTGCCTTTGCAGTTCTCAACCTGGTAAGGCGGTGAGATTATGACGTCGTCCATCACAATAATGTTCTTCTCCTGCCATTTACAGTCTTTGATGCTGTAAAGAAAAGAAAACGACCTTTTAGCCACAGCTGAAAATGCTTTTTTGTTTTCTTTCTGCAAATTTCATACTAGTGTTTATGACATCTATAGCTCTGTTTCTAAGTTAACCAGTTTAAGCAGGTTAAACAAGCAGCACATTTGTCATACGGAGAGTTAACGACCTGAAAGTGAAACCAGAGCCAACAATGGACAGGTTTCACGTTTCTGAGTGAACAATTATGTGGGGCATCTGGTCTCCTGTGTTTTTGAAAACATTTTAAATCAAAAACTATGTGAGCTGCAAAAAAGATTTTATTCAAAATATGACCTTTGACTAAAGAAGACGGAAAAGGCTCAGACAGGTATCCAATTACAGTCTGATTCAGGGCTAAAACATGGCTGGATCAGATATCTGAAACTTCAGCCTGATTCCTTCATGTCACAAAGTGTAAAAGTTAAATTATCAAGAGGCGCATTCATCTTCATGAATCAGTTCAAAGGGAACAAGATGAAAATACATTTCGGTTTCAATTTACAGATTATAGTAAATTGAAACCGATTTACTCCTAAATCTCAGACATCAATGACTGGGTTTAATACTTTGCATTCCTTTTCCTTTATCACACAACTGAAGGAAATTCTTGCTCGAGTGGGTTAAGATCAGGTTATTGTTGAAATTCAACATCTCTGCCTTCCAACAACTTTCGCTTTGTTTTTGTAGTGCATTCTCAGTAAGTTTCAATTTGCATTGTAAAGCTCTTTCCAGTCAACCTAGCTGCATTTGACTGTCCAAATATTGCTGTTCCTAAACAGGTCTGGCTTTCCCCCCCTTTTTTTTGTTCCTTCTTCCCATTAACCTGACCTTGTGACTGATCAACGATCGCCATTTTGCAGCTTGTCACAGAGTATTCTCTCTATGATGGACATATGATGGGGGTGTTTCTTATTGACTATAGAAAGGATCCTGTCATCACCTACCACTGTTCCAGGCTTCTTCTTCTTCTTTTTTTTTTTTAAATTGCCAAGCCCAGCAAAGCATCCATCTGTCCCCATTACAATTACAAAGATCGAGATTTGACTCTGCAGCCTAAAGCAGGGCATTAAACACCGTTATGGACTCAGACAAGTGAAGAGCCCACAGACAACTAGTCATTGCTGTTACTTCATCCAACACTGCATGATGGCCAGGAGTAGTTGCTGCACTGTAATCTAGAGTCTATGAT